CAAATAATTCAGTAGCCTTCCTCTATTTAAAGGATAAGCAGGCTGAGAAAGAAATTAGGGAAACAGCACCCTTCACAATAGTCACAGAAATGTAAAATAGCTCAGATGAATCTAATCAAGAAAGCCAGAGATATTTTTCACAAGAACTTCAACTCTCCGAAGAAAAACAATTAAAGAAGTTCCCCAAAGATGGAAAGATCTCTCATGCTCTTTGATTGGGAGGATTGATATAGTTAAAAAAAATGGTCATCTTGTCAAGGCCAATCTACAGATTTGATGTAATCCCCATCAAAAATCCCACTCAATTCTTCACAGAGATAGAAAAAGTAAGTCTCAAATTTATTTGGAATAAGGAAAAAAAACAGGAGAGTGAAAACTTTCTCAACAATAAAAGAACATCTGGGGGAATCACCATCCCTGACCTCAAGCTCTGCTACAGAGCAATAGTGATAAAAAAAACAACCCTGCATGGTATTGGTACAGAGACAGGCAGGAAGATCAATGGAATAAAATAGAAGGCCCAGAAATGAACTCAGGTACCTATAGTCACTTGATCTTTGACAAAGGAGCTATAACCATACAGTGGTCAAAAGACAGTGCTCTCAACAGGTGGTGCTGGTTGAACTGGAGATCAATATGTAGGAAAATGTATATAGATCCATTGTTATCTTCTTGTACAAAACTCAAGTCTAAGTGGATCAAGGACCTCCATATGAAACTAGACCCACTGAAACTAATAAAAGAGAAAGTAGGAAAGAGCCTCGAATACATAGGCACAGAGGAAAATGTCAGAAGCCATAATAGGACAAGCTAATAATTAGTTGGTGATCATCCTGAAATGGCTTGTCTTGGATTATTATATAATCTGTGACAAGTAAGACCTTATTCTACAAGGCTGTAAGAGACTTATTTTACTAAAGATTCCTACTATTAATATGCTTCTTCTATTATTATTAAACATATGTAATTATCACTAAGTAATAATACACCCCTTTGGAGCCAATCTCTGTAGATCCACAAACATGTACTGTCTTGTGATAATGCTATATAGACAACTAGATGATGTATTAAGTCTTAATGATGATCCTTTAAGAATTCCTAAAGTTATATTAATGAATGTTAAGCTATTTTATACTGGTACTGCTATTAGGTCCTTTTCTGATAGTCAAAACTGCAATAAGAACTCTGACAGTCTCCCAAGTGTCACCAGGAATTTGCTCTTAGATAGTATCCAGACTTTCTCATTCCAAGAGGTAAAACAATTAACCAAATTTGACTAAACAGGAACTCACTGTTTATTATAGGTGCTAGGACAGAAGGTAAAATATTGCCTGGGTTTATCTATACACAATTTCACTAATTTCTTAGTTATAGTTTAAATCTTCAGAAATCCTGTGGAGCTAGACAGGTGATGGATGTTTAGCCAGATAATTACTCCTAATGAATATGCATTTAAGCATTCTCTGTTGTAAACTTCTATTTCAATTTATGATTTGATTTTTGATGTGAACTTGTGATGAACATTGAAACATGTGATCATGTATTCTGAAAGATGTATAAGTACTAAAGAAAAAGAAAGAGAGAGAGAGAGAGAGACATCCGTCCTTTCCTTTCCTTTTCCCCTGCCTAGAATTTTTCCCTTAGAACTTTTCCCTTATTAGAATTTTTTCCTTTTTCCTCCTTAGGACTTTCCACTTTTCTCCTTAGATAGCTTTCTCAGGAAACTTTTAACACTTAACAATAAACTCTATAATAACTTCTGTTAGTGTTTTTTTTTTTCCTGCTACATCAGACTAGCAGGCATAAGAACCCAGGAGTTCCTGTTGAGACAGCACAAAGGCTATTTACTTAATCCATTGCTGTTTTGGGATGACGTACTATGTGCCAGAAGCTGCAGTTTCTGGACTCAGAGGATCACAAAAGGGAGGTCAGATACAGTAGCAAAGTAATAAAAGATAAGTAAACTTTTATTATACAGGAACCCTAAATATGTTGTAAGACCAAAGTCTTCCACCAAATGTCTTAAGATCAAGACTTACCCCCACCAACACTCTTCCCACTCCACTACCATAAGAATAGACAAGAAGGAGAAGATTCCTCCCAAGGCAGGTCTGGCCCCTGGCAGGGAAAGTTCCTGAACAGGACACCAATGGCTTATGCTCTAAGATCAAGAATTGACAAATGGGACCTCATAAAATTGCATTGCCTCTGTAAGGTACACCATCAATAGGACAAAGCAGCCAACCACAGATTGAGAAAAGATTTTCACCAATCCTACATCTGATAGAGGCCTAATATCCAAAATTTACAAAGAATTCAAGAAATTAAATTTCAGACAATAAAATAACCCTATTAAAAGTGGGGTACACAGCTCAACAAACTATTTTCAACTCAGGAATATCAAATGTCCATGAAGCACCTATAGAAATGATCAACATCTTTACTCATCAGGGAAATGCAAATCAAAACAACCACAAGATTCCACCTCACACCAGTCAGAATGGCTAAGATTAAAAACTCAGATGACAGCAGATGCTGGGGAGGCTGTGGAAAAAGAGCAACACTCATCCATTGTTCGTGGAATTGTAAGCTTGTACAACTACTCTGGAAATCAGTCTGGAGGTTCCTCAGAAAATTGGACAAAATATTACCTGTGGATCAAGCGATACCACTCATGGGCATATACCCAAATGATGCTCTAAAATAAAAGGATACATGTTCCACTATGTTCATTGCAGCCTTATTTATAATAGCCAGAAGCTGGAAAGAACCCAGATGTCCTTCAACAGAGGAATGGATACAGAAAATTTGGTACATTTACACAGTGGAATATTACTCAGCTATTAAAAACAATGAATTCATGAAACTTATAGACAAATGGATGGAACTAGAAAATATCATCTTGAGTGAGGTAAACCAGTCACAAAAGAACACACATGGTATGTACTCATTGATAAGTGGATATTAGCCCCAAATCTCAAAATACTCAAGAAGAACTCACAGACCACATGAAGCTCAAGAAAAAGAAAGACCAATGTGTGGGCGTTTCAGTCCTTCTTAGAAGGAGTAACAAAATACTCACAGGAGCAAATATGAGATAATGTTGTAGAGACCATCCAGAGACTGCCCCCCCTGAAGGTCCCTCAAGATGTAATCATCATATACAAATACTGTTGTGGATGTACACAAGTGCTTGCTGACAAGAGCCTGATATACTTGTCTCCGGAGAGGCACTGCCAGAGCCTGACATATACATAGGCCGATGCTCACAGCTAACTATCAAACTGACCACAGGGTTCCCAGTGGACATGTTAGAGAGAAGATCTGAGGAGTTGAAGGGGCTTGTTGCCCCATTGGGAGAGTTACAATACCAACCAACCAGAGCTCCCTGGACCAAAACAGATAGCCTTGGAACACACATGAAAAGACCCATGACTCTAGCTGTATTTATAGAGTAGGATGGACTTGTAGGAAATCAGTGGGAGTGGAGGGCCTTGGTCCCTTGAAGGCTGGATGTCTCAGTAAGGAGAAATTCGAGGGAGGGAAAGTGAGAGAGAGTGGGTAGGTTGGGTATACCCTCATAGATATAGGAGGAGGGAGGATGGGTTAAGGGATTTCCGGGGGTTAGGACTGGGGAAGGGGATAACATCTGAAATGTAGATAAATAAAGTACCCAATAATAAAAAAGAAAAAGAAACAAACAAATAATGGAACTGGCTACATTTTCTTTAATACAGCCTACAGAGTATTAAAATTAATTTATGTGATGATACAGAAAGACAGTAATGTAATAAAGAAAAGCATGACTTCTATTGTCAATCTTTTTGCATCACATTCACATCTGCATCCATCATTATCATGCTTGGTAATATCTGAAACACTAATTTTTCCTCATCGGCAAAATAGGTACACTGGTACACTTTTTTCATGTATTCATGGATTCATTAAAATAATCACACACTGAGTATGGCCTATATGTCTGGCACTGTTTGCAAAACGAACCACACAATAATTTAAGAAACACGTTCTTTTTAAACATATTAAATTCATGTTCTGTGTGTATATCAAATGCAGAAGTGCATGGAACACATCACAATGAAATAGCTGGAAAATAAATCAAGAATGGGGGCTGATGGATTGTAAACAGAGGAAAGACAGAGAAGTTTACAGTGTCACTAGTAAAAAGGCAAAGACCAAAAAAAAAAAAAAGGCAACGACCAAGATGTCACTATATAAAAGATATTTGCCATCTGGGTTGAAGGACGACACAAGAGAATGAGAAATTGAACAATTTCTAAACCTTAAACTGAAGACACAATGGAGTGAAATGGTAAAAACCGATGTATGGTCAGAAAAGACAGTTCTATAAAGGACAGGGACTCAAATTATACAGGTCTTCATGCATCACAAAACAGCATGGCTGAGTGAAACAGAAGTCTTGCAATGTTCTCAGCTGGGAGTGGCTGTGTGTATCTCATGGGAAAATCAAGACAGCTGAACTACTGATCATAACTGTGTGTATCTGTAGCACTCATGTGAAACCACACACACAAAAGTAAAAGCTATTTTAAGATATTATTTAAAAGTTGTCTGCATGTTGTGAAGAACTTCTATAAGTAAATACTAAAATATAGACAAAACAATTGAAGTCAGTTTGGATCATTGAGAGGATAAACACTGTTGAGTTGGATAGTGTGATGGAAACAGGTTAGGTAAAAAGCAGGAATAATCTGGATGTATAAAAAGGTCAAGCCAGTGTTGCTTTTGTTAGATTGTGTAGTATATAGCTTGGAAGAGGAAAAGGTGGGACATAATTTCCAGAGAGGGAGAAGTCTGTTTTAAGATTTCAGGAATATAGAAGGTTTCTACAGAAAATTACTGTTTGTTCTTTTAACAGTGTGCTCTTTATCAAACAGATGGTTAGAGCACATGATGAGAGGAGCTAGAGTAGTGTTAAGACCATTCTTAATCCACCTTTGTACTTGATTCACATTTTCCAGGCACAACTGGAGACTGGAAGAATCACTTCACAGTAGCCCAAGCTGAAGCCTTTGATAAAGTATTCCAGGAGAAAATGGCTGGATTCCCTCCAGGGATGTTCCCATGGGAATAAGTTTTCAAAATTTTAAATATTATATGAACACTGATGTTTATGTTCCTGTTGTTCAATATGCAAATAATTGAATGTGGTCATAAAATAAATACTGTTGTGGAATTGTGAAGAACATTTTTTTAAAGCATAGTGTTACTAATGCTAGTAGTAGCAACAGTGGTGGTGGTGGTAGTAGTATGTATACCTTTCTGTTTGTTTTGCCTTCAGAGGTGAGAAGAATGAATTACTCCCATGGGACCTGAAGTTGTATGTAGCTATAAACTTCTTGTTTGGGGTCCTAGAAACTGATCTCAAGTCCTCTGCCTGTGGAATACAGTGCTATTAATATCTCTCCATCTTTGTGAGCCATTTCTTCAGCCTAGAATCATGGAGTCTTGTGTCATCAAATATTTTATACTTTGATTGCTATTTTGTTGTATATTATCAGCAAATTCCAATTTACTTCATAGAATTCCAACTTGAAAACATTTTATTTTTATTTAAATATGTCATTTATTTGGGGGTTTTGTTTACTTAGATCAGACATGACAAATGTTTCTACATGTGAAACTATGGAAATTAAATAATTATTAATCAGTATTTGTGTATTTATCATATCATGCATGAATACAAGCATAATTATTTGCTGAAGAAACATGTATGTATATGTTTAAATGTTTTCATTTTCCTTTTTTCATTTATTTATTTATTCACTATATATCCTGGTTCCAGCTGCCTCCATCCTCTCCTCTCAAATCCATACTTAAAACTTCCTCCCTCCACGTCTGTTCCTATTTAGCTTAAAGAAACTGAGTACCTCCCACTCTGAAGGGCAAGAGAGATGTTCTGGAAATGTCCTGGAAGTAACCCTTTAGAAGAAATAGCTTTGATGTATTTGAGGTGCAATCAAACACTAAGCTGGAATGGAAGGTCCCAGAATTTCAGCATCCGAGAGCACAAACCTTGTCAAGCCTGTCTTCCTTCTCCTTCATACTGCAATATATAAACCTTACAAGTAACACATAGCTCTGTAATGCCATTCATATGGAAGGTGTGAGGAGCACAGATCAGTTGATGAAGATCAATAAAGAAAGAAAAGTGTCTTTCCTTAGAGGTTATTTTGATCATATAATCAAACTAAGATATTAATTTCTATTCATGCGGTCTTAAAGGAATATCTATAGTAATAAGTCATGAAAATTTTGTACCCCATAGGTGTTACTGGCTGTATATAGACATTTAAATCTCAGCTGGTTCTAGAGCTGTCTCTTTGTACAGAGATATGTACATCACCACACACAAATGACGTATTCTTTTGACCTTGTTAGTCTCTTTCTTCTAGTCTGTAGGCAAGTGCTTTGGGATGTCTCTCGTTGTCATCTCTGACATTTATCAATTTGAAAGGAACCCATAGTTTTTCTTTCCTTGTGGAAATACAGGCATAAACCACCCCCTAGAATAACACATTACTCAATTTCCATTCTGATGACAGAATATCCTTAAAATAAACACTCTAGTTAGTTTAGAAGTTTTTTTTTCTATATTTCAACGTCTTTTAGCATCCATAGTTTTTTGTTCATTAGCATCTTAAAAATTTAAGTTTAATAAAGCACTATGTAATCTATCTCCAGGGGTTTTTGTTGTCCTCTTTTGCCTGCTAAGCATCTCCTTTAGATACAATAAAATCTCTCTACAATTGCATGTCCTTTAGAACTATGTGATATTACTGTATCATGGTTTATCTTATAATATGCAAAAATATCTGTTTCATCTTATTAGAGACATATGTCTGACTATTCTCCATTTTAATTTATATGGGAATTCCCATAATGTGCATAACTTCTAACAAATGTATACTATCAGAATCAGCCTTCTCTGAAGCTAAGGAGGTTGTACATTGAAATCCTGGATATTTACCTATAGTATGATGCACATGTTTCAGTTTATCAAACTCTGTATAATGGAACATACTCTTTTGCCAAATTTTATTCCTTTGGATAACTTTGAGGTTACTTCCTGTAGGTAATGGAGTTTAGTTACAAAAGGAACAAGTAGGACAGTGCCATACAATTTTCTTCTCTTGTTGCCAAGTAATAGGGAATTCTTTCTTTAAGCCTTTACTGTTACCATGGTGTTTTTAATGAAACTCTTAAGCTTCTCATAACCTTTCTTTCAAAGGTGACCTTGCAGACCTGTATGGCGTCTTATGTGTGTTTTATGTATAGTGAATGACTTCTATTTCTGATCATTTGTTGTAGCTGAGTAACCAGTGAAGTCAACTCAGAATCACCCTGAATAAGTTCAGCAGTCTCTATGTGTAAAACAACCATTTCTGCATATTGAGAGTCAGTCACTATATTAACAGACTCTTTAAATTCTGACATTACCATGAATATTTTATATAATTCAAATTTTTGAACCAACTTATAGGAACTCTCAGACAACTTACTTATATCTTCTCATTTTTGTCTTGTCTTTCTTGATTTATTAGTATCAGTGTAAAGTGTAGGGACTCCAGAAATTGGAATTTTTTATTTATTATACAAGGGAGAATCCAATTAGTTCTTTTAAAGAACTGAAGTCACTCGTTTTAAAATTACCTGTTGTTAAACTCTCCCAAGAAATTACTTCATGCTCTTTGTCAATGTCCATCTTATGCCCATAATGAGACAATCTCTGTGTTAGTTAAGGTACCACAATTCAGCTGGATCCATTCCAGCTAATTGTCAAAAATCTCAGTTTTTTTCACTATCAATTTAAAGACCTCCTCTCTGTCTCCGTCATAAAAGTATATTCTAAGATATTATCTTCCCTCTGTATGAGAATTCTTGTAGGGGAATAGGTAGAAGGTAAAATAACTAAGATGTAGGCTTTTTTTTTGGATTAATACAATCTAGATAAATATCCTGTAGTTTCCTTTCCAGTAGAGCTAACTCCTCAGCCTTAGCTGATAATTTTCTTTGACTATTTAAATCTTTATCACCTTGTAAGGTTTGAAATAAACTGCTTACCTATTGAGTAGCCAAGACAGCTGGAAAGCACACACAATTAATATCTCCCAATTATTTCTGAAAATCTTTAAGAGTCTATAATTGGTTTCTTTGATTTGTACCTTTTGTAGCCTAATCTTTTTTTAAGTTTATTTTTTACTGTATAGTTTCTTTATTTACATTTCAAATGTTATCCCCTTTCCTGGTTCCCACCCCCAGAAACCCCTTTTCCAATCCCCCTTCCCTTGATTCTATGGGGGTGTTCCCCTATACACCCTTACACTCCTGCTTCCACATCCTTGAATTCCCCTACTCTGAGGCATCAAGGCTTCACAGAAGCGAGGGGCTCTTTTTCCATTGATGCCTAAGAGGGTTGTATTCTGCTACATATGAAGCTGGATCAATGGGTCCCTCCATGTGTACTCCTCAGTAGGTGGTTTAGTCCCTGGGAGATCTGGGGGTTCTGGTTGGTTGATATTTCTGTTCTTACTATAGGGCTGCAAATACATTCATCTCCTTCACTCCTATCCCTAACTCCTCCATTTATGACCCCATTAGGGACACCATTGGGGCCCCATGCTCAGTCAAAAGGTTGGCTGTGAGTATCCACTTCTTTCTTTGTCGGGCTCTAGTAAAGTCTCTCATTAGCCAGCTATATCAGGCTCCTATCAGCCTGCATTTCTTGACATCCACAATAGTGTCTGAGTTTGGTGACTGTATATGGGATGGATCCCCAAATGAGACAGTCTTTGGATAGCCTTCCTTCAGTCTCTGCTCCACACTTTGTCTCCGTATTTGCTCCCATGGGTATTTTTGCCCTTTCTAAGAAGGACCAAAGCACCCACCCATTAGTCTTCCTGCTTCTTGAGCTTCATGGTATCTGTGAATGGTATCTTGGATATTCTGAGGATTTGGATTAGTATCCAATCACTAGTTAGTGCATACCATGTATGTTCTTTTGGGATTAGGTTACCTGACTCAGGATGATATTTTAAAGTTCCATTCGTTTGCCTAATAATTTCATTAAGTCATTGTTTTTAATAGCTGTGTAGTAGTCCATTATGTAAATCTACCACATTTTCTCTATATGTCCCTCTGTTGAAAGTCATCTAGGTTATTTTCAGCTTCTGGCTATTATACATAAGGCTTCTATGAATAAAGTGGAGCATGTGGCCTTATTACATGTTGGAGAATATTTTGAGTATATGCTCAGGAGTGGTATAGCAGGGTCCTCAGGTAATACTATGTCCAATTTTCTGAGGAACTGCCAGACTGATTTCTAGAGTGGTTGTACCATCTTGCTATTTCATCCACAAAGGAGAAATGTTACTCTTTCTCCACAGCCTCACCAGCATCTGCTGTCATCTGAATTTTTGCTCTTAGCCATTCCTACTAATGTGAGGTGAAATCTCAGGGTTGTTTCAATTGCATTTCCCTGATGACTAAGGATTTTGAACAATTCTTTAGGTGCTTCTCTGCTATTTGAGTTTCCTCAGTTCAGAATTTTCTTTTTAGCTCTGGTTCCCATTTTTAATAGCGTTATTTGGTTCTCTGGAGGCTAACTTTTTGACTTCTTTGTATATATTGAATATTAACCCTCTCTGGAATGTAGAACTGGTAAATATAGGTTCCCAATGTTTTGGTTGGAATTTTTTCCTATTCACAGTGTCCTTTGATTGCAGAAACTTTGAAATTTTATGAGGTCCCATCTGTCAATTCTTGATCTCAGAGCATAAGCCATTGGTATTTTGTCCAGGAAAATTTCCCCTGTGCCCATGTGTTCAAGAGTCTTCCCCACTTACTTTTCTATTTCTTTCAGTGTACCTGATTTTATGTGGGGGCCCATGCTCCATTTGGATTTGAATTTTGAACAAGGAGATAAGAATGTACAGTGCACATTCATCTACATTCTGACCCCCAGTTGAACAAACACTATTTGTTGAAAATGCTTTGTTTTTTCCAGTGTATCATTTTAACTCCTTTGTCAAATCAAGTGACTATAGATACATGGGTTTATTTCTGGGTCTTTAAGTCTATTTCATTAATCTACCTGCCTGTCTCTGTAAGTATACAAATTAATAAAATCAAAAATGAAAAGGGAGACATAACAACAAAAACTGAGGTAGTTCAAAA